ATGCGCATCGCCATAGATTCATGGGCATGCGAGCACACGTAGTCGCCACTTGCAGATAGGATCCGCTGGGCAACGTGTTGGCGCGGTCGTACTTGAGGCCGAAGTGGCAAAAACGCATGCGCATGACTTGTAAGCCAAGATCTTCAATAGCATCTCGCATGGGACCTTGCTTCCAGAAATATCCCGGCGGCCCCACGAGTACAATGGTCATGCGTAAAGCCCGAGCCTTGGACATCAGATTTTGGATACGCTGGTAGCGCGGCCCTGTCCTCTTGCCAGGCAGCCTCACATACCAGTCAGCAGGTGTTGATACCCACAACAGTTGGTAATCACCCGAGAGTAATGCACCCAAATACTGTGCACCAGTGGAGGTCATCACCTCCGCATGTGTAATACGATCGCACATGTATCCACGGGCTCGGAGTTCAGCGCAAGCTGTCCGTAGATCCTCAATGACAAATGCACGAGAATGATGATGATGCGACAATTCTTCTCTTTCTGTAGCGGCCGCAGCCGGGTCCACTGCCGTTCGCGGCAGCCGCACAGTCGGGCTTGGCACGGCCCCTGGCACGCACAGCCGGTGCCTGGGAAAAGAATTCAGGTTTCCCCGCGTTTGCTGACAGCACCTGAATGTTCGGCCTGTCTGAGCGAGCGCGAGTGGCCGTGGCACGCGCCTGCCCCCGTCACTCGTTTGGCGATGGGGGCGTCCAAATACCGGTGCCGTGCTGCGCTGCAGAGCCGCTGCTCGAAATAGAAAAATCAAACTTCTCAGCGGCGCCATCCACTTCCGCAGGTGTCCCTGCCCGTGCATCGGGAGGCGTCCACTTCGCACCAGTCGTAGATGGCCTGATATATTTTCGTCTGCAAATCGCGGAGGGCGAAGTCCTTGTCGGCCGAGGCAGGGGTAGCCCCAATTGACAGATTTCTACGATGCCATGTGTTCAAGGTGTTATTCACCAAAGTCTGGATCGTGAAAGCGAACGTCTCGTCGTTAATAGAGAAACCAATGCCCTTCGCATCTTGTGACATCATGTATGCGTGGGCATCAATCACAGCAGGTGCCCTTGCGATTGGCTCTGGATCGGATGCTTCCTTGACGAGTAATGGAGCTTCTTCGCACTGAGGATTGGCCGTGATAGTAAACGACATCGACCCTTGATCCTCAGTAGCCATCTCGCACTCGTCAGCCTTGAGTGCCAGATGCCCGGAGGGCGTCTTCATCAGGTCGAGTACCCTGGCACCTTCTCCGAGTAGAACCTCGCGCATCTCCACGCCAGGGATGATCATCTTCTCGCGCCCCTGCTCAAGGATCAGGATGGCCCTCATGTTCGACATGCTCCCCAGACCCAAGACGGCAGGGAGGTTCCCCCCAGAGCCCTCAGCCACATTTGCTGCGTACGTATCAAGTCTCGGCACAGCAGGTTGCCCCGCGGGATCCCCCCTCTGTTCGCGTGCAATCTTGCAATGCAGGAATGCGTCGCAAATCGCGGCGCCATGTCCCACTCCTGACACCGAAAGCCTCTTCGTAAGGTTCAGCCTTTTTAATAGCGTCTCCGTGGGAACGTGATACAGGCTCACAGGTCCGTGCCGTCATTAATCCAATAATATTGATACCACTGCCAATATCCAGAAGAATAATCAACATATCATTGATCATAGTTCCACTGTTAGCTGCCAAGGCTAGCCCATGGGCGTTCACCGAATACTCCAGGAACTTCAGATACTGTCGTACCATGCAAGCCTTTGCGGCGCCTCTGCTCCAACACCAAATCATTTCTGGGCAAAGATGTGAAAATATGCATATACCCACGAGCCTCATCTTGTGTAATAAGTTTTTTGGTTCAAGGATCCAGGCTGCATGATATTCGCCATGCATATTTGGTTGTGATGTGGAGGAACTGGGTAATTCATCAACGTCTCCTCATCCGCGCGCATGCCCATCTGACCATCAGTATTTATCAGAAGTACCGCATGCAGCATGTCGCGTTCGAATATCCCACTATTGCCAACGCGCATGCTTACAGGGCTCTGCGTCCTGCGCTGACTGCGTGGACGGAGATCTCGCCCATATGGCATATATGAATACGAAGACTGATGCAATTGAGCGCTCCTATCGGTAGCCCTTCCCATGCGCCTCAACCACGCATCGTTCACTGGCACCGAAGGTGCCCCTGCGTTATTGTCGGTCTCTGCCACGAATGGCATAGGCACGTCTCTAGCAGGCGCCCCTGCAAGCGTGGTTGCCTCCGTTATTATCCCCGCGTTGGCTGGTGATGCAGGTGGCCCCGCTGGGGTCGCCATCGAGACGGCCGCGGTGCCCGTCATCATGGCTGTAACGCGGTTAAGCTCTTCACGGAGATCCCCGAGCTCGTTCGCCCCTCGGAGCATGTCTTCATGACGATTGAGTGACTCTTGATCTCCAGCAAGGGCGCAGTGGAACTCGGCAGCGAGGAGGCCAACACCCTTGCATATAGCGCAGGTGGCCTCACCTCGGGACCTTCCAGGTTCCCAGCCAACTGTCTATTCACATGAGCGTGTACCACTCGATCCCAGCATCGCGCGTGGAATATGTGGCCACATTGGAGGCGCCAGACCTCCTTATCGTGATTCATGAACCGGTCCAGGCATATGGCACACTTACCGAAGTCGCCGTCACTGATGATGGGCGGCGTTGCCGATGGCCTGATACGCGTCTGGCGCTCCAGGGTGGATTCGCCAGCCTCGAACCGAATAGGTGATACCGTCGGTAGCTGCATTGATGCAACCATGGCTGGACTGCTCGCAGGTGTCCCTGATATACTGCGATTAGCAGGTTGCCCCGCGCGGCTCAGCATTCTGTCGGCCTGGCGATCCGGATTTCGGCGCTGGCGCGTAGCCTGCATAGCCAAATTGGCTTGCTCGCCTCGTGCATGGCTAGGATCTCAGGGCGCAACTCCCCCATGGTCGGCGGAAGCACTAGGCCTGGAGCCTGTTGCTTCACATCTTGATCCATGGGGGGAGCCAGAGAACCATAGTGAGGTATCTGTCCTGGCACACCTGATGCATACCCTGAGCCGCGTGTCAACTGTGACTGGTAGAAGTCGTCGGCCGTCGCCCGAACGCATGGATTCTCGGGCTGCGTTCCCACCCGAAGAATACCACTCACCTGGGCATGATAGTCAGGATAGAGTGGGTGATCCATTGGCGCTGCTGTAGGACGATCAGCAGACGTTGGATCGCAAGCTGGATGACTGCAATATGCTGGCACATAGCCGAACCGATTGGGATTGCCAGGTGAAGGATTTGGATCCGGAACATACTCCCACGGCGGCGTCCAGTTGGCATTAGGGAGGTCAATACCATCCCTCCGCATGCTCTGAGCGGCCTCACGCATCCGCCGATGCATCCACTCTTGCTGACCAACTGAACCTTTCTGTATGGCGTATTGGTCAGGAATAGCAGGTTGCCCCGCATGTGGACGTGGCGATGCACATGGCGATGTCGCCTGTAGAGACTGATAGAGCTGCGGATCCATCCGAATGCTTTGGAGCCTCGCCTGCAGGAGGTTGTTGCTCCCAGCACACTGTGGAGTACCACATGGTGTAGTAGCTATGCTCATAAAGGCAAATGAGGCAGGTCGCCCTGCAGGTACTGGCAGTTGTTGCACATGGGCACGCCACGGAACGTTGACGTACAAAGTGTCGGAGGAAGTAATACCACTTAGTGCAAAGCCTGTCACGTCGGCGCTCTGAGCCTGTATCCATGATCCATCAGATCCCCCTGCAGGTGCCCCCCCATGATACGCGCCCATCATGAGCACACAAGAGAACGCGACCTCATGAACCGGAGGCGGATCGGGACACTTCAGGTTGTTGGATTTTTTATAATAATAATAATAATTGGTTATATATATAAAGAAAAAACAGCAGTGCGAATATCGTACATATCACAATTTTTAACACTCGGGAACGGCTGGCTGTCGTCTGTGAATGTCCACTTACATGTAGAGGACGGACCGAAGCGTCAGGAGGGCGGCGCGCCCAGGCCTCCCGACACAGGCCTTCAGCACACGCAAGACACCGAACCCGCCTTCCCGACGGCTGCGTCCGCCGTGCGGAACGGCTACGGCTTGAGCCAAAATGGCTAGGAGGAGGAGGGGGAGGAGGAGGAGGGGGAGGAGGAGCAGGAGGAGGAGGAGGAGCAGGAGCAGAGATAAGGAAGAAAGAGGGGGAGAGCAGGAAAAGGAAGGAGGAGGAGAAGGAGGAAGGGGGGAGAGGAGCCGGGGCGGCTGTTTCCCGAACGCCGCGCCGCGGTGATCATCGCGGCATCGCGACCCGAGCCCCCTTAACCAGGAGACGCACGAGGAGGAGCACGAGGAGGAGGAGGAGGAGGAGGAGGTAGGTGGAGGAGGAGGAGGCGGAGGAGGACGAGGAAGCGGTGGAGGGAAGGAATGAAAGGGAGGGGAAGCAGGCCTTGGCCCAGGCCTGATCCCACTAGAAATCTAAAACATCTCAGCGCAGCCTAAGAGTCTCAAGAGGGAGGAGCGTTTGGCTGTGAAGTGGGATCTGGGGGGAGTTAGTAGCTAGCTATGGCGCGCTGCGCCGCGCCGCCGAGGCCGGCATGCAACTAACGGGCCCTATCGCGACAGAACGCCCCTGAGATTAGCCAACAGCCACTCTCTACCATTCTGGCCACGAATCCACTAATACAGCCTCGACGGTCGGCGGCGAGAATCAAATTCTCAACTACTCGAAATCTAGAGCGAGCAGAATTGTAGGGCGACAAGGTTAGCGGCCTCCCTCTTCCCCTCCAGAGCCTAATCCCGAGACCACCGGCCGCCCTTACAAAACTCGCTCGCTGAGCTGGGCACCGGAGCCCTGCTGTAATCCCAAGCCCCAAGCTCAGAAAACCTACTTCGTAAGATGCTGCGTGCCCTTGTTGCTGGGCTGCTGCCTCGACCTCTTCCCCTGCTGATCCCCCCCCTCGCCCTCGTCCTTCTGTTTCTCCTGGTCCTTGCCGACGTGCTGAAGCCACGACGAGCTCCCGATGAGCTCGAGCACCGACGCGGGCACCTCCGAGGTGCCCACGACGACCAAAACAAACAAAACATTCGAGGTGCCGCACCTCGAATGTTTTGTTTGTGTTGGTCGTCGTCGTCGCCGTCGCTGTCGTCGTCGTCGTCGTCGGGGCGCCTCAGCCCGACCGCGCTTGGCCGCTCGCTTCGGCTTGGGAGCCGCCGGCCCGGTGACCTCGACGTGGGCATTGCCGATCGTGCCCTTGTTAGGCACCAAGGTGGGGCACTTCACCTGGACGTCAGCCTCGGCCTGCGTCAGGCTGCACGCCGGGATCTCCGGAGGGATACGGTAGGTGACGTCGATCGGTTTGACATCGACGGCGGCGCCTCCTACATCCTTCATCTCCTTTGCGTCTAACAGACGAGCGATCCAGGCTGGAACGATGCAGGCCCCAGTCGTGCCGAGAGTTCCGTACAGGCCCCCGTTCAAGCACAGAGGAATCGTAGCCTCCCCGCCGATCACGATCGCGCATATCTTGAACGATTTGTTCGCTGTGGTCTCTGGAATGGCACTGACCTCGCCAGCGAACATGAGAAGTACCTTGTTCCACGGTTGGCTCGTGCCAGAGCTGGGCCTTCTTGCCCGTCGCATCGCCGATCGGGTCAATCGAGAATCCCTCGCAAGAGCCATCGTCCTGTAGGGATGGGGCGGCACGCACAAAAAATGGAGGCGTGGAGGAGGAGGGAGGAGGAGGGAGCAGGAATGTTTGCCCGCTGCTCAGCAAAGGCATCGCGATGGATGCTGTAGTCGAGGAAGCGGCACAGCTGGTCCAAGAAGACGCTGGAAATGCCCCCGCGAGTGCCAGCAAGTGCTGGCAACATGTACTGAGGGATGCCCGCCTGAGGAAGCTCCGTAGTGGTCTTGGAAGTATCGCCCACGATGAAGTTCTGGATTTTGTGAAGAGGCCAGCGCAAAGACACTCGACTCTGAAGCTCCGGATCCTCCACGTCGGCCGCTGCATCTGCTTCAGCTGCAGTATCCACCTTACTCGTGGTAGCTTGCTCCACAAATGTCATCTCCTTGGTCAGGCCAACTTCGATCATCTTCACGAACTCCTTCGTGAGCGACGCGGGCTCCTCGCCATGGCCCCGAGACTTGAGATAGACGTCCAGCCTCTTGAGCACAGCAGTCCAAACTTGGGCGTAGATATCCACGTCGACTTCGCACGGCTGCATGAGCTGGGTGAGCAGCTCTGCGGCGTCATGCTTCTTCAACTCTTCGGACGTAGCCTTGATGATCTCGCTTTCCTCATGGTAATGGATGGTCATCTTGGTGAGACTGGCGACGCGGAAGATGCTGCAGTACGACAAAACTTCTGCTGTTGGGAACATAGACTTGACCTGCGGTGGAATGATAATATCAGTTGGCCCCTTCAACATCGCCATGTGCTTCACGCGGCTGATGAATAAGCGCGCGCTCCAGGGCACACAGCCAAAGGCCTTCGTCACCACAGACTTGCAAATAGTGTCATGGTCAAGACTCGAAACACTTGACTTGTCAGGGAGAGGCACATCATCCACGATCGGCAGCTTGTAGCCGAAATCTGCTGGCAACGGATATGCAGTGAAGAACTTGTCGCTATCAGTCTTCGCATTCATCATCGTCTGAATGAGAGTACCCGTCAAGGCCACCTTGTTGTTCATCTTAGGCTCTGTCAACGATTGCGTTGTAGCCTCCAACTTCTCTGCAAACGATTTCTGAGTCGATGCCGCATCAGTCGACGCCGCTGCTGGTTGTGAGGACGCTGGTGCCGTTGACGGCGCTGCGACGATCGCGCCCTCCTCTTGCAGGAAGGTGGAGTCTGCCAGTTGCGGGGCAGCACATACGAAATCTGTTTGCATCATGTTGTTGTCAAGGTGCGCGTCGACCATCGTCTTCAACGCCTTTTTGAGCACAGACCACTTCTTGTAGGTAGCGCCCGCGAGAGTGATCTGCCCTTCCCATGCGAATTGGAGCCCCAATGAATAAAGCTGCCTCTTGTAAGACTTCAGCGCATCTGGGGTCTTCTTCAAGCTAATCTCGGGACGCTCCGCGACTGCCTTATTCCAAACATCTACGAGGTCGTCAAGCCAGCGCACTTCGTAAGCACACTTGTCACCCTTGGTGTGCTCATCGGGGACCTCTGTTGTCTCGTTGACGTCATTGCCCTTGTTATTTCCCTTGCCCTTGGCTTTGGCTTTCGCCTTGGGCTTTGCGACGGCGGTCAGAGTCCCCGGTGGTTCCTGGCGCCACTTGGTCTTGGCATTGTTAGTCTTCTCGAAGATCCAATTGACATCACGGCAGTAGGTCGCGCCCGTGGCGCAAGGGCGTGCTGGCACCATGAGTTTGGCCCCTTCCATGAAGATGATCTTGAGATCTTCTTTGTCAATGCTCGTCTCGAACGTCTTCAGAACAACGCTCAAACCGTGGAGGCTGGTCAGGACAACTGCGTTGTCGATGCGCTGGTCCCTGTAGCGGCAGATCGCACCCATGACAGTGTTCATCTCTTGGGGGATGCCCCAAGTGACGTTCAGAGCGGTCTCGAGGCTGCAGCACTTGAGCCACACATTCTCCGACTCATACGTTCCCGGGAAGTTGTCCTTGACCCACTCCCAGCACTTGGCCGCAGTGCTAGCTGCGCCTTTGCCGTCTCGGGCGGTCAGGCCCCTGGTGATCTTGACGGCGCCCCAGTTGCCCTGGCTTTGATCGCGATTTTCAAGATCTCCATCCAACTGGTCTTCGATCCACTGTGGAAAGCGTTGTGGTACTGCACCAAGAAATCCAACACATCCAAAGGCGTGTCGGGCCGGAAGATGTCGACATTGGGTAATCCTCGCGAAATGGTGGTTTGGGCCTTCACGTTAGTCATGCCTGCGCCCCTCTGATACGTGATCTTAATTGCCTGAGAAAATTTGTCGAAAGACAGCATGAGATACGGACCACCAACCTCAGGATTCCGTTGCGCCCAGGGCACTCCACGAACTCCAGGCACGTAGCCGCGTTCCTCGATGGATTCTACGTAGTCCTCGACAATTTGATCTTGCTTGCGAGGGTTCGCAATCGGGCGCGCTGCGAGTTGAAAAACACCCGCGGCGCTGAAGAACGGGATGGTCACATTGGACTCCTCTCGGTAGATCGTCTGGACGCGGTCGAGCATCGGTAGCCCCATTTGCGTGTTTGGGAACCGTTTCAGGATCGTCTGGCCTGCTGGCAGCTGTTCAAATAGTTGAGACCGAAGCTTCGCTTGGAGATCAGCTTTTTGCTTCGCAACCTTCTCAGCCTCTGTCGTAATGTAAGCGAAGGTGGCCTGGTCCTCAGGAGATATTTGTTGCTCCATGGCAGCCAAGCCGGCCCTGCCAGGGCTCCCTGCGTTGATAGGGCCGCCATTGCCACCACCACTGCAAGCCTGGCCTTGAGACTGACTTTGACTTCCACCGGTGCTACTATCAGCACTCTGACTCATCCCGTAGACTGCTAATTCCGGCGTGCCTGTGCGAGACACAAATGGAAGGAGGTGTCGAGTCAGGAATTAAGCAGCGCTTCTGCTTCGAGTTGGCTCGAGCAAAACCCAGCAGCATGAGCAGGAGCGGGGAGGAGATGGAGGGAGGATGTGAGGATAGAGGAGTTGGGGAGTGGGGAGGGATCATATCATGAGAGCGCAGGGCATCTCTTTTCAGACAGAAGGCTTGGTTGTTGCGCGAACGCCGGCGACCAAGCACGGACTTGGGGGATCGCAGCAAATAACGACCAACCCACTCTAGCAGAGACTAGCACACAGTCTGAGACTCACGATCTACCCACTTTAGCCGCTAGTAGGCTATATCAAGAGCTTTGAAACGTAAAGAGCGGCATGGTACCTATCTACTATCGGCTGGCAACCCAAATCCAGCAATTGCAATCGCAAACCATATTCGCACGGATGAAAGCTCCAACTCGACGCTCGACGAGTCCGACGAATAGATTACCTACTCCAGCAACTCGGAGTGCTGATACCCCCCCCCCTCTCTCGGCTCGCCGGGCCAACGCGCCCCCGAGGGCAGCAACGTTGAAGCTCTCGGGCTGGGCCCTGGCTGGACCCCGCTTGCTTGCGAGATGGGAAGGTGCTTGAGCTACAGCTACAGTGCTCTCTGCTCTGTAATACTTCTAAGCCTCCCCCCCCTTCCTCTCCCCCCCCATTCTCTCTCCCCTAGGGTCTACCTGCGTGCACATCTGGCGCGCTCAATCAAGAAAGAACTCTGGAATGCCATCCGCGGATTCTTCCTCCGCCGCCCTGAGCACGAAAACGAGTGCGAACAGCGTCATCGCTGACGAGCAAGCGATGTTCATTGAGTTTGCAGCTTGCCGCATCACCCCCCTGCGATTGCGGGGGTGATGAGGGCGATGGGTAAAGGAGCAGCACCGGCGCGGGCTGCCCTGGGGATTGCCCAAAGTCGCTGTCATGGGAAAGCATTGGTACATAAGGCACTCTGACGGCGTAAGCCAGCGGTGGACGTCATCACTGAAGTTCAGGCTGGGATTTGCAATCAAGGTGTGAAGGATCGTGGGAGTACTGAACGCTGCAGAGCTGCTCTCCCCACTCTGCGACAACATGAAGCAGCAACCAGGCGCAGGCTGGCGCTCGCGGTACGCCTTGAGGTTCTTGCTCTCCCTCGCCGTCAGGGACTCCTCGAAAGGATGCTCGCACTGCATCGCGGCATGGCGCTGAAGTCCTGAGGGGAGGGCCGAGTCCCCTCCAGCAAAACCCTCCAGCCAGGCTGGAGGGTTCTGCTGGAGGGGATTCGGCTTCCTGGCCTCCTGACTGATCCTCCTGACTGATCCTCCTGCTGGAGCTTCCAGCCTCCTGACTGATCCTCCTCCTGCTTCCTCCTCCTCTTCCCCCAGGCGGTTCACTCCACCAAACAACCCTGTTTCCAGATCCCCCAAGCAGGTCCGCGCAGTCTGCTGCCTTTCCGAGACATCGACCATTCCAGCTCCTCTTCCAGCTCACGAGGGCAAGCAACGCCGGCGACCATGAACGCCCTGTAGGTGACGTGCCTGACCACCCTGAAGAAGATCGGGAGGATATTCTGGATATTGCCGACAACGCACTCCACGAAGCCGCGATGGTAGCAGATCGCCCAGCAGCGAGGGCGCCCGGCAGGAACGCCGAACAGCTGAGGGCCCAAGATGCAAGTCTCGATCACGCACAGATCCCCGAGGCCATCTTCCAGCAGCTTCGCGTTGAACCTTTCCGCCTCCTCCACGATGATGATGGTGTCCTGGGCGTGGCGTCGGACCCCGAACCACGCCCCGATGTGGACCATCGACTTCCCTGAGGCGCCGTCATGCTTGCCGAACCCCGCCCACGCGTGGCACGTCAGGCCAGCCCTGTGGATGTGAGTGCCTACGATCTTGATACGGCGGCGGTGGTTAATAGCGTACCCCTCTGGAACAATAGCCTCGCCGCTCTTGATCGGAGTGAGCAGCTCCTCGAACGTCACAGCATGGCCGTCCATGCGTCGCTTGTTGATGTCCTTGTATACTGCGGGGTTCCAGAA